TACAGCTGGCCCACTCCACCTTACGCGCCTACTTTCTGACGCCTGGCGGGAGCCCCCTTTCCCACACTTCAGAATGCCCCTTTTCCATTCAGGGCCAGCACACTCACCCGGATCCCCACGACCCATATGACACACGAAATGCCCTTGACTCTCAACACCCCGGCACTCTCTCGACCCTCACAGCGCTCTGAATCTCTATGACTCTCACTGCGCTCCAAGTCATGAGCATGTGCGGGCGAAAACTCGAGGACATGACCAGTATGCGACACTTGAGGCGTCGGTTTTTGAACTTTTTGATCTATATGGAGGTCTCCCCCCTGCTGGTCATCACCAGCAGCACATACAACCGGTAGCCGAAACCCCGTACATTGCAAGCCTCGACGATGCTCCGCAGTCGCCCTGCTGATACCTTTTAGGCTATACGCCACGAGCAGCACACGCGAACCCTCTTGCCAACCCTCTGTTGCGTGCCACTTGTGTGGGTCCAAGTAGCATGGTTGAAACGGCGTAAGAGATTGCACTTCCCCTGCCACCCGCATCTTGGGAGTAACCCATCGAGCATCATCCCCCAGCGCCCTCTCGACCCAGATCCCTCCCTCGCACGGCGGAACCCGAAGGGGCAAAAGCAAGTTTGACACCGGCAGATTGTATTTATCCCTGTGCGGTTTGGCGCGGGTTTGATTCAGGATTGTGAGAGTAGTGAACTCATGCTTGGGATCGACAGCAGCAACCATACGAGCTAGCAACTTGGCAAAGCCTGGACATCGCGCCCATTCCCGAGTCACTCCGGTCACCCCCCCCCATGCTGATAGAACCCCAAAACTCTTGCAAAGCCGCCCTCGTCAAGAACTCCCACCCTCGAGCGACCCGACGGAGACTGCAACCAGCTGGTGCCCAACAAGAACTGCGAGGCCCGATCTAAGCAAAAATGCTCACTGGAGGCCAAGCTCCATGCTTGCTCATCTTCAGACAACACATCTTGAATCCTGGCAACATGCTCTCGAGCACTCTCTTCAGAACCCTTGGCGTCGGCCTCAGCTGCTGCTGGCCTAACTCCTAGAGTGGTTTTTCCACGAACCCGAACGTCAGGATTAACTGCTCGCGTGCCTACCTTGGCCTTTTCGGGAGGAATCTCGAAGGAGTCTGGATCTACTGTCTGAAGGTCGGCAAACACACACACGGAGTGTTCAAAAGCTCGCCCGCATCAGTCCTGACAAGATAGCCAGCTGACAAGTCCCTAGAGGGATGCAACAGCCTAGCCCCAACGACCCGCGACACCCACTCTCCTCGCTTATGGATGTGCCAGCTTCTCTGCAACACATGCACCTTCGCACCAAATGGCACGAGCCTTGGCACATTCCAGCCAAGCTTAGAGGCCTCAATGCGAAACCGCTCAGCACACGCGCGCCGAAGGGCGTAGGGCCAATCTGGAATTGGGGTATCCATGTGGTGCATCAGCGTCCGCGCCTGGCCTTTCAAGATCCCAATTAGGTTCTCAGCGAATGGGTTGGCCCGAAACCGGTCCCCCCCCGTGTTGGTCTTGTGGATCCCTCTAGCGCGTGTCCACTCCCGCATCAGCTTGTTGCAAAATTCTCCCCCGGCATCGGTGTGTAGGCGTGCAACATTACACCCCATCGCCACCAATCTAGCCTCAATCCCCTTCACGGCATCAAGGACCTCCCGAGCCCCCTTTGTGCGGAGCATTCCCACAAACGGCAAGTGGACAAGCTCTAACTTTTTCATGGGTTGAGGTTCTTCCTCCTCCGGAGCCTGATCCTGCTCTTGAACTTCTACAGCCTCCTCCTCGGACTCTTGGCAGGTCCCCAACCCCTGCACCTGGAACTTCCTCCGGATCTTCAAAAGGCTCAGCTCCTAGGAACCCGTTGAGCTCAGGAGACCTTGGGACAGAGAACACGGCTGCCAAGAAGTATCTGGCCCTACACCCCTCACTCATCCCCTCCTTGAACGGACCGGCCAAATCAAGGGGCAGTGTGAAGCTCTCTGACACGTGGCTCCTAAAATGCGATGGTCGGCGTATTCTACCTGCCACACACGCATAGCAGTCCCGACGATATGGGATGTGACCTGCCAAGACGTGATCCCGCATAGATTGGTCAATGCGCAACCGTCGAAGCTCCTCCACTTCCCGAACACACACCGCCCTTCTACTACATGAGTTGTCCAACGACTGACGGATAGCTTGACAAAGCCCATGTGACCATTTTGCCCACTCTTCGCTAGAGCCACGTTCTTGCTCATCACTAGCCCATCCCGGCCCCTTTAGATCCATAGCCCAGCTGGGCCAGTACCCAGACACGCATGCGACGGTCGTTGGCTTACGGCACACGTGTCCCAACGGACCCTGATCTAGGGTGATGAGGCTCAGGCCTAAGAGCCTGCGAAGAGCTTCAAACTCAGCAGTGGTCCATAGCGTGGGATACGAGGCATGACACTCACCAAACACTTCTTTGGGGTCTTGGGGGTTCTCAAGTATAAAGTTGAAACACCGCTCCTCTTCGGAATCAAGCGTGGAAAGACCCCATTTGGCCACTACCCCAAGCATGAGCGTACGAATCATGAGCTGATCATCCTCCCAAACCTTCACCTCCTCGCGCGCGGAGATCCCAGCCTTACCCCACCGCCCAGGGCCATCACGATCCCGAACGACTGGTGGACCCTCACCCCGCCCCCTCAATGCCGATCGAGTTCGACACGGAAACCCTGACAGGACTGCTTTCAGCTTCCCTCGGGGAGCAAGGCTTAAAATGTACGAATACGTCGAGGGGTCGTTCAGGTCTTCTTGGCTGTCTACTGCAAGGACAACCATCCCATGCTTGGCTGCAACCTCATCAAATGCTCTTCGTGAAGAGCCACAGCATAAGTGAAGTATCACTCCCTTGGCCATCTCGATGGAACGACGCTTCCTACGATTGAAGGCTCTAGGAGGTTGAGCTCCACTCATGAGCCTCGACACCTCACCCAGCAATTCACGGGGAGCTTCAGGGAACAAGGAAGACCACAGCACACGGTGCCACACACACGCACCCTCTTTGCCTCGTCCCTCAATCCCGACCTTCAACCGACTTGCTGCCCCTTGCCAGACCTTGTCATGTACCCCAAGCTTTTGGACTCGTTCTGTATTCAGACCCTGGACACGAGCAATCTCAACTCTGTCAATCAGCTTCAAGGCGAGTTGACGGGTAACCCTCGGGCATCCACTCCGCACAGACACTGGAACAATGATACCCCGATGGCGAACTTCGAGCAAACGCGGAACCTGACTGAAGACCAGAACCTGGCTTGAAATCGCGACGCTGAGTACCTGACCCGGAGAACCCGAAGACTGCGCCCGTTTCGGACTACTACGGCTACGAGGAGTGGCCTTAGCGACGTTACGCGTTCTCGACTCGATCTCTGGGCTAGTGGCCTGGAAAGGTGACAGAGCTCTAGGGTCAAACGCACTGATCTCTCTCGCTCCCTCTCCCCCTCGTCTCAGTCTCCTTCTTGCGTAACACGCCAGGCATATCGAACTCCCCCAACCTCCGTAAACCCCCCAGCCAAGAACTGTGGAGCAATGGCAGGGCCTTCGGGCACTGGCTGAACGGCTGGCAGGTTAGATGTACTCGGATCCACCACCTGCCCCCTCTCAGCCCGTCTGCTGCCTTCGGCCGCGCTAGCGTCTCCCATCCGGTGTATCGTCGGTTTGGCAATGTCCACCTTGTCTCCACCAGAGTTTCTGGACTGAGCATCCAAGTTCACCGCATCCTGCGATGACAGGTTCAACGTTTCCATCTGGCTTGCTACGTCACCAACAACGCCCTGAGGCGAAGTTGCCGAGCGGCCAGGCTCTTGTTCCAGTCTTTCCAATCTTGAAGCCATTGTCGCCTGTTCAACCATCATTCGGTCCAAGGCAGGCACAACGTGACACTGGATTGTTTGCTGCATCATCGTGCTCATTTGACCAAACATCTCGGCAATCATATCCTGGCCTAGGATCTGAACTTGACTAGGCTGACCAGTCGTAGCACCATCAGAGCTATCGCGGTTCTGTCTGCCTGGCACGCATTCCCCCGTCCGGGATCAACTCATCCTCATCACCACCAGGTCCACGTCCTCGCCCCCTAACATCAGTCTTGGCTCGTCTGGTCGACACGCTCCCACCATCGCGGCGGTCTGATCATCATCTGACACTACCATCAGCGCATCCAGGGCCCCTGGGCCAAGGCCGAACAACCGGCCATCACTAGCGACTGCAGCGGGGATTGGGCGATCATAAGGAGGATCAACTTCGGATTCCTCCTCTTCCTGTGACGGGTGCCCCGTCCTGTCCGGCGACTCCTGCGCTTCACGGAACTCCTCTTCGAGGGCCCCTGCGAGATCAGAATCGCTTTCCGTTGCCATGTCTATAGCGTTGGGCTCATGACCCGCGAGTTCGCGGGGTGCGCAGACACAGCTTTTAAGCACAGCACAGCAACACAAGAAGAACAAATGATGCCTGCTGGTCTGTCTGACTGTCTCTTCTGTATCGCCAATCTGTACAACGCGATTCTCAAAAACCTACTACTCGATGCGTATCTGTATCATCTGCAATGAGCCATGCTGAGCTTGGCCATGCAAATCACATTCGAGCAGCAATGGTATCGGCATCGTCTGTAAGAGAGGGCAAAGTTGGGCGATGCAAGCTCGAAGAGCTTAAGGTTCCCCCCCAAACACCCCCAACTTTCATGCCTGACACGGCCTGCCGGCCGTGCCAGGGGGCTGAAGGCTCTGTAGGCGCCGCACCTGGGAAATCACGCTCCCTAAACCCAAACAATCAACAGGCTCCTCCAAAATTGGAAGGTCTGGCGTACATGAGCCGAACCCCTCAACCCTTGGATTCAGGTTGCTTAAGCATAAACCCTAGACCCTTCGAAAGCTGCCACGCAAATAGCCTATATATATCCTAAACCCTACGCCGGAAACCCCAAACCGTACACCCAAGAACTTGACGGCTTGTGGTCCTTTGTCACATCCTTAAGCAGCAGCTTCGCCTGTGAGGCACCGATGGCATGATGAACTAATTTTAGGTTTCAGTGAAGAGAACTTAGGGCCTTAGGGTTTGAAGTTTAGTGATTTAGGTGTTTGGGGAACCCTAAGCTCCAAACCCTAAACATCCGTAAGCCATCAAAAAACCCTAGGGGCTTCAGGGCTTGGAGCTTGGGAGGTTTGGGGGCTAAGGGTGCTGGTTCCGGCTATTTATTGGCATGCCGCCCTGAGAAAGACCCTGGACCTATCGAGCCCCACTCAGCCCTTTAAACCCTAAACCCTAAACAATTCTCTTCCATCCACCTGCCCTTAACCCATACGAATTTCCCTGGAACACCGCTCTTACATCATCATGGCCAACTAAATGTACTCACACGTGCCAACTACGGTCTCCCATGCTTGCATACAAGAAACCCTAAACCCTAAACCCGACACTCTAAAACCCTAAAACCCTTATCCCAAAGATGGCTTTCGGGTTGAGGGTTTCGTGGTTCAACTTTGCTCTTCCATGCTGCCTATAACACTCTGGAAAACCTGGGTGCCATGTTGTTATAAGAGCGGTTGGCTGAGGGAACCTAGGCCCTAAAACCCAGGAACATGGGGGGGGGGGGGGGGGAAGGTTTAGGGTTTAGGGTTTCGGGCTTAGGGCTTAGGGCTCAGGGTCTGTCCTCACAGCTAAACCACGGAAGCCCTAAACTCGGCCTGGCAGCCAGGAGAACGCCGCGTGATCTGCGTGCACATTTCCGCCTCACAGAACACAGAACCCGAATCTCTACACCCTGTAGACTCTTTTTTGTGGGGTTTAGGGTTAGGGTTTAGGGTTTAGGGTTTAGGGTTTAGGGTTTAGGGTTTAGGGTTTAGGGTGTAGGGTTTAGGGTTTAGGGTTTAGCGTTTAGGGTTTAGGGTTTAGGGTTTAGGGTTTAGGGTTTAGGTAAAGTATGGGCTCTCTGTGGCTCAGAACTACAAAGACATTTGCCTACACTAGGTACCACCCAAGAGCGTCCCTTGATGGTTGCCAAGGGGCCTCCCTCCTCCCTCCTCACAAGAGAGGGTCCTATGCCTACCATCCCCACCCTAAACCCTAAACCCTAAACCCTAAACCCTAAACCCTAAACCCTAAACCCTAAACCCTAAACCCTAATCGACCCCAACCCAACAGCAGGCCCAAGTAGGGCGTAATTAAGGGCCAGGGGGTATGAAATTCAGGGTCAGGGTGGGTTTACGGTAGGAATGGATGCCGTACCAAAAACAGTTCTGGCTAAGGCTTCAGGTCCTCAGCAGGATCCAAAGTTCAGGGTGTAGGGTGTGGGATTTAGGGCTTAAGCAAAACGAGCAACCCTAAACACTCTAAGACCTGTGCCTGCACTCCCTTAACCCCCAAACAGTCCTAGAACCTCTAAGCCACAACCTCTAGAGCCACCCTCTCAAGCCTAAGGAAAAGCCTCTCAACCCTCATACCCAAAACCCTTCAACCCGAACACAACCCCTTTAACCCTAAACCCCTTTAACCCTAAACCCCTTTAACCCTAAACCCCCTCAACCCTACAACAACCCTTAACCCTAAACCCTTGAGCCTTTAACCCTAAACCCTGAACACTAAACCCCTAAGCCCCAAACCCCAACCCCCACCTCCCATAAGACCCCCAACCTGGCTGAAGTCAATGATGGTCAGCTGCAGAGATCCTGGATTCCACATGATGTTGGCCTCAGGACTTAGGGTGTAGAGTTCAGGGTTTAGGGTTGGGGTTTAGAGTTTGGGGTTTGGGGTGTAGAGTTTATTTGGTTTCTAAGAGCTAGGACTTGTTTACAGGGCTTGTAGATTTTGTCCGCGGAATACAGGCTTGTACGGTATTTGAACCTTCATCACTAAACCCGAGACTGAAAAGCCAAGAAGTCCTTCAAGGTTGGACCCTAATTTAGCACAACCATAGACTCTAAACCAGTCCTTTCACAAAACAAGATAGAGAACACCCTTACTACTTTACAACAAGTCGAAGCCCTAAGCCCTAAACCTTAGACCATGCCCCTCAACTCCGGCCAAATTGGACCTCAGTCGGCTATATAGGCTTGCTTCGGCTGTTGGGATCCGGAGCTACGAGCTGCAATTGAGGGTTTAGGGTTCAGGGTTTCAGGAATATCCCGGCTTAGGATTAGCCGGGTTTCTTGCTAGTGACCTCGGTGTAGTTCTAGATTCCCATCGTGAACCCTTGCAAATAAGTTCACCCAGTCGGCTAAACGACGTGAGCTCTCTGAAGCGAGCGCTCTTCCCCTTGGATTGTCACTACGAGGTACTAGACCGGTTTAGGGTTTGGGGTTTAGGGTTTAGGGTTTAGGGTTTGATACTCCAGCACAAGCAGTTCTATGAATGCCTCTCCGGCATCCTTTTTTTGGTCACTGTGGCCGACCAGATAAGCTACCAGCTTCCTGATGCGAATACGAACTGATCGTCCGGCCTCGACCCAGGGTAACATAGGGATCGGAATCATGCCTAGTAATATTCCCTTGTGGTCCCGTGGAAATTATAATAACCCCCCAAACTCCTATTCTGATTGTTCAGGCCCCTATGGTATACACGGTGCTTGTTGCGATAGTCCCCAGGCTGTTGTCTCCGCAAAGCTCCAAGCCAACGTTGTTCTTCTTCAGGCGAGACAAACAACGTCGACTTTTTCCCACAAATGCTTCATTTAGCCACGACTCCAACGAGCTCCACACCTTACTTAAAGTCTCAACCCTAAAGATCCCTAAAGCTTTGAGCCCTCAGGCCCTATACATCTTACACCCTAAAACTAGAAAAACACGCCCCCCAGGCCTTAAAGCCTTGTGAACCCTAAAAACTCCTCGACCTCAAGCCCCAAAAAAACCAAAACCTGGAAGCGGCATGGCTTCGTGCCGTGGCACTGATGTCAGGTCGTTGTGGATGAGAGCTTTTCCCTCCACCGGATCCTTGAGGAGTTCGGTAATCCGGGGTTCACATGGCTTTTTAAGCCCGAAACCCTACAAGAGTTTGAGGGTTTGGGAATCAGATGTAAAGAGCTCCCTTCTCAGCCTTCGTGCAGCTTTCTAGTGACCCACGGATCCCAAAAAGAGCAGAGGGCCGGGTTGGAGATCTTTGTCAGGGACTGAGGGCGCTGGGGCTCACAGGCCTGGGACGTCAAGCTTGACAAGGGGCTTGGTGAAGGGAGAGGGTTTAGGGTGTAAGCCTAAAGCCCCTAAACCCTAAACCCTAAACCCTAAACCCTAAACCCTAAACCCTAAACCCTAAACCCTAAACCCTAAAACCCTAAACCCTAAACCCGAAGCCCCTAAACGGGCCTAAGCCCCCTAAAGCCCTAATTAAGCCCCCTAAAGCCCGAACCCCTAGGCCCCTAACCCCTAAACCAACCCCTAAACCTACTTTCTACTCGGAAAAAAGCTGTACCCTAGAACCCAAACCCTAAACCCTAAACCCTAAAGACCCTAAAGCCCCTAAACCCCGAGAGAGTCCAAGAAGCCAGAAATCTGCGGATGGCTCGCAGCAGCTGGCGCAGCAAGCCATGTTGCGAATCCTTGTCGGCTTTCACAAAGGCCTGGCAGCTCAGGGCTTATTTAGGGTTGAGGGTTTAGGGTTTAGGGCTGAGGGTGTAGGGTTGAAAGTTGAGGGTTGAGGGTTGAGCAAATGTATATCTTGGTCGCCCAATATGAACCCTCGGCCGGTTCGTGAGCAAAGGAACCCTTAAGAGGCACGCGAGGACCCAGAGTAGATGGGCCCCTTAATATACCCCAAAATGCTGTAATCCTGATACTAGGAACACCCAAGGAGGGCACGCCTATTTCAAAAAAAAAAGCAGAGCGCGTGCATGAAACCCTGGAAAGCATATGGGAAGGTGGTTATTAGGTCCAACCCTTGGATTCAATGTGCGTCTTGGGGGTTGCTAAGGCCTCGTGGATTTCCGACAAGCTACATACACTCCGCCCGGTGTCATTAGGTTAAAGAACCTGAAGCCCGAAATCCTAAACTCTAATCAATCCCTAATTAATCCCTAAAGCCTTTGGGCTGTGAGTGTGGAGGCAGGGGAGGAGTAGCGATCCCATGCTGGTCTTGGGTTTAGGGTTTAGGGTTTAGGGTTTGGGTTTAGGGTTTAGGGTGGTTTAGGGTTTAGGGTTTAGGGTTTAGGGTTTAGGGATTAGGGATTAGGGATTAGGGTTTAGGGTTTAGGGTTTAGGGTTTAGGGTTTAGGAGCCAGGTCCAACCCCCAAATTGAGCATTCCAGTGATGCCCCCCCCGCCCCCCGCCCCCACTTGAGCTTGGCAAGCCAGATCCTGACATGGCACCCTCAACGGCCGAAACTCGAAGAAACCCGATAGCCCAAGCTTGTGGAATTTAAGCCCTAGGTTTGGAATAATCCCCCTTATACTAACAGTCCTTCAGAGGGATTGTAATAGGGGGCCTTTGGCCCCAAAACGCAAAACCCCCTTTAAATCTTAAGCTCTAAAACCTCTAAAACCTGGAGCGGCCTCGGCGCTGTCGTCCATGAGTACAAAGTCGGCCGGAACCTCCGAACCGCATGCAGCAAGAGCTTTCTACATGGTGTTTGGGCCTAGGGATTAATCCCAAAACCAAAACCCTAAACCCTAAACCCTAAACCCGAAACCTTCAAGATGAACCCATGAACCCTGGAAGGGTCTTGGAGTTGAGGTTGTAGGTGTTCGAGAAAGCGCGCATACTAGTCAGTCTATGTTAAACACTCTTCCTATGTGTTCAGCACCCTCAAGGATAGTACGGTTTGAACAAACCCCCCCCCAAAAAAAAAAAAAAAACTGAGACAAGGAAGCTGGAACAATACCCTAAACCCTGACTAAACCCTTAACTTTCTTTGTCTCACGACTGTGAGGATGGCTATTGTCGAGCCCTGGGGGACTAGGCGCTCATGGGCATCCAACCCTACACCCGAAACTGGAGAACTTCTGCTTTCAGACTCTTAGCGTAAGTTGAATTCAGCCAACCCTTGTAAACCTTAACTAGAAAATGCACGCAAAGCTCACGAAATCCGGGAAAGCCTATGATTGGGCTCTGAACCTTACACCGGGATCCAAGCAACCCAGGCTCCCCCCCCTTTTGAGATTTGGGTAGTGTGATCAGCAACCTAGCACCCAACAAAAAATAGGGAGCCACTGAGGAAAAGAGCTCTACATCCCAAACCCTACAAGCCCTAATCGATGCTCCGAGGCTGCACGACCATACACGACATATCGTCTTTCGAGTGGAGAGCCTTGCAAACTGCAGCAGCTGCAGCATGCCGATTTGCACCGCCTGGCAGGAGCCTTTGTTGTCCAGCCTTGGCTGCCTCTTTGCCAGCCGCAAGTTGTAAGCAGGCCACATTCGATAAGCCTGTCAGGATGGGGCGCAGCCATTGAGACGCAAGCAAACTCTCCAGCTTCATGAAAAAGCAAGAAGATAAATGTTTGTCATATTCTACAAAAAAGTCCTACAGCCTGAAGGCACTAGAACGTATAAAAGCCCTAAACCCTACAAGCCGTAAACCCTGCAACCATTATATGGGGGTTTGCGCTATTAGGTGTACCTTATTGGGGGTCTATTTTCGGGGCCCCTTATTATCTACAATCGTAAACCCGCATATCCCATGATGCTATTGGGTCCACCTCGTTGCCCGACTCTGGATTGGTTGTGAACCCTAAACCCTAAACCCGTTTCTCTTCGTCGGCGCGGGGCTTGACGTCGCGCTTGTCGCATTGCTTGGATGAGCGGGAACCCCGAAACCCTGCAAAACCCTAAATGGGTATTTCCCCAAACAAGGGTACCCTTCTGCGGGGGGGTTCCGATTACAAGGATTCAGAGTATTTTGGAGAATATTCGGCGTATCCCTATTTTCAACATCCTAAACCTAAATCCCTAAAAATCCCTCCCCCCTAAGCCCTAAACCATAAACCCTAAACCCTAAACCCTAAACCCTAAACCCTAAACCCTAACCCCCCCCCCCCCCCCCCCCCGGCAAGTTGGCCTGCTGCAGGAGGATGAACCTAGCATCCTCGGGAGGATCCTGCGGCCCAGGTCTGTTCAGGTGATCTTCGGAGTTTGGGGTTTCTGTAGGGTTTAGGGTTTAGGGTTTAGGGTTTAGGGTTTAGGGCTTAGGGTTTAGGGTTCAGGGTTCAGTTTAGGGTTTAGGGTTCAGGGTTCAGGGTTGAGGTTTTAGGCACCAAGGGCTTGGGGTAAAAAAGGTCCGGGATCGGTTTACTGGATTTGGGCTTGGGGCCTTTTGCCTTTTGCTTTACTGGCGCCTTCTGCATCTTGGGTGTAGGGTTTAGGGTTTAAGGTTTAGGGTTTAGGGTTTGGATTCGCATCCATATTGATATAGGCTTTTGTCGTAGACTAGCCCTCACCTCACAGGCTGGAACAAACCTCCACTGGAGTCTTAAGGTAATTGTAATTACACAGTCCCTTAGTATGGGCCCTGAAAAGGGGGACCCCTTACATACCCTGTACAACCGCCAAGGGACCATACTTCAGAACCCCGAAAAGAAGGTAAGGGACCATGCTGAGGGAAAATGTAACTACCCTTAGATGGAGAGCAAACCCTGAACCCCTAAACACTAAACCCGTAGACCCTTAATAAAAGAAAAATGAAGACATGACCTTTCTCCATGGATGATGCAGCTGTTCATGCCCCGAACAGAAGGGGTTTGGGAGTTGTAGGCTTTAGGGGTTTAGGGTTCGGGGTTTAGGGATAATAGTTTAGATTTAAGGTGTAGGTTTAGGGATAGGGTTGAAGGATGTTGTATTCTTAAACCCCAAACCCTAAACCCCAAAAGATAATGCTCTTTGCACTCCTGCCCTCTTTTCGCAGTAGAATTTCAACCCGAAGACCCCTTCAACGCGAAGGCCAGGGTTGCCGTCTTGCATCCGTACTCAAGAAAATCTCAGCGAATTACCACAGCTCTCACAAGGATTTAAGGGTTTAGGGTTTAGGGTTTAGGCTTTACGGTTTAGGGGTTAAAGCCACCAGGCAACTCTGCAACAAAGAGCGAGGTGAAGTCCTCGAAGCAGCCGGAGACGTACTGCGGTGCCCGTCGAAAAGCTTCGCTGCCCGCGTAGCCTCGGCTGCCACATCCCTTGCGGACGTCTTAGTTAGGGCTTATAATTAGGGTTTAGGGTTTAGGGTTTAGGGTTTCGGGTTGAGGGTTTAAGTTTTTTAAGGTTTGGGAACCGGAACCCCAAAAAATCGACTGTAGGCTCTGACTGGTATCCTACATCTAAACCCCAGACTCGGGGCCCCTGGTGTCTACTTCTCTTTGCTGGCGCATCCAAACCCTAAACCCTAAACCCTAAACCCTAAACCCTAAACCCTAAACCCTAAACCCTAAACCCTAAACCCTAAACCCTAAACCCGAGGATTCAGACCTTGAGCTAATCCTCAACATCAAGATGAAAGCTAAGTCCTACCTAAAGCCTGAAGGCCCAGAAGCCTAAACCCTTCTCCAAAACACTTACGGGATGAAAGGAGGATCACCCTGCCATATGCGCAAAAACCCTAAACCCTAAATTGCCTGAGTCGCCCGGCGCAAAAGCCTCCTGTGTGTGACTCTAAGTTGAAGTCTCTATGACCCTATAAGCCCGAAATCCTGGAACCCTAAACCCTGTAAAAAAAAACCCTGAACTCCCTAAACCCTAAGCCCTGAACCCTAAGCCCGAAAACCTTAAACCACTAACCCCTGAACCCTTAAGCCCTCAACCCCCCTAAACCCTATAAACCCTACATCTTGCACCCCGATGAACCCCGGAAACCCTTAACAGCCCTAAACCCTTACACCCTACAACCCCCAAAACCCTCTAAACCCGCAATCCCTAAACCCTTAAACCCTTTAAACCCCCACAAACCCTATAAACCCATACTCCCTATAAACTTAACACCCAGGGATGCAAGGCCAAGGGGCACTCCTGAAGAAGCTCCTCCGCCGGGCCTGGCCATGCAAGTTAGGATTTGTGGAGTTTAGGTTTGTTGTTTAGGGATTTTTTTTTGGGGTTTGTGGGGTTTAGTAAGTGTTTAGGGTTTAGGGTTTAGGGTTTAGGGTTTAGGGTTTAGGGTTGTAGGGCTTTTAGGGCCCCACCTACTTAGAACACAAGTCTTAGAAAAGGGACTGAGCATCACAAGCAGCAGCCACCCTGCCTCAGGGTGGCACTGACACTGTTGGGTTTAAGGGTTAAGGGTTTACCAAGTGCCCTGCGTCTAGGAGGTTCACAATAGGCGAGCATCATGAGGCTCAGTTGCCTTGCGTCCTAGAGGTGCAGCTGCGCGTCTCAGCGCTGGCGCACCTGAGGGGGGCGAGCATCATCATCATGAACATCAACTGCACTGCGTCTCAGCGGCGCTCACCGAGGGGGCGAGCATCATGAGATCATGAGCGTCAGCTGCACCGCCTCTCGGTGGCGCCCACCGAAGCGGCGAGCATCATGAGCGTCGGCGTCAGCTGCATTGCATCTTCAGGAGATATCGACTCGCAAAACAAAAACCATCAATAACAACTATCGTGAGCAAATCTAGCAGCAGGAAATACAAAGGTCAAAGCCAATGACAATATCAGCAAAATGCACAGTCCCCAAAGCCCCGTAAACCAAAGTATAAAACCCTAAACCCTAAAAGCCCTGGACCACCAGCCTTGCAAGCTCACGGTGCCCCCACGGCAGGCGTCCATGTCACATCGAAACTTCACGATAACCTCCGCGCAGAGAGGATTGCATAAACCCTAAACCCTAAACCCTAAACCCTAAACCTTAAACCCTAAATCCTAAACCCTAAACCCTAAACCCTAAACCCAGTAGGCTCAAGGCCGATCCTTGGCCTGCTCCGCCCCGACATCGCCCAGCTCAATATACGAATCCCAGAACTTCTCGCTCCCGTGCAACTCAGCCCCACCTTCTTTAGGGTTTAGGGTTTAGGGTTTAGGGTTTAGGGTTTAGGGCTTTTCATGTCGTGTGCCAGCGCTTTTCCCGCCATGTAAGGAGCGCTTCTGGCCCTAATTACCATGAAGCTTCAGAAGCTCCGGGCCTATAAGCCACGAGGAGTTTCCGAAGATGAAGGTCTCCCAAATCCCGGGCGCAAGCTCAAGGTTCCCTAACTTCTGGGCCCCCCTTACGATGAGACACACCAGAAACAAGCATCCCTGACAACCCACACCCAACAAAGGGAAGCCCCCCACTCCTTCAGACGCCCCCTTCTGTGGCCAGCCTGCTACAGGAGGGCTTTGCCTCGAGGCTAGAAACGGGAATCCCATAAAACTAAATGCTGTCGAGTCCGCTGGAGAGATGCGCTGCTCAATGCTACTCACGCATCCAGACTGCTACGAGACCAAATCTTACTCACAAGTCCAACAGCTTGGGGGTGATTGAAAATGGTCAGAGATTTCGGGTCTGAGGTTCGCCCCGCGCAACAGCCCTCCAACTGTGGCGACAGCTCGGCTCCGCTGAGCTCTTGTCAGGGTGCCCCATGAAAAACGCGGATACAGCTGGGTTTCATACGCTGAAATGTGCATCTTCAATGTGTATGTCTGATCTTCCTGCCGGCGCCCACTCCTGCAGGGCCTGCGCAGGTGGCCCGCGAGCCTGCTCCTGCGCGGCGCGCTGGGTCATGTAGCCTTGCATGGTCGCCTCCAAGCTGCGATTCAGCCTCCCGAGCTCTCCCCCGAGGTGCCGCTCCGTGGCCCGGAGGACTTCGGAGATGCGCAGCTTCAGCGAGAAGTTCACGGCGTCGAAGCCGCCCTCTTCCTGAGACAGGGTCGATTTAATCACAGAGGGCTGAGGGGGCCTTGGGAGAGGAGCAAACAAGACGAACCCTGGCCGACAGAGGAATTCACACCAGACACTCAGCCTGCGAGATGAGCTGGTCGATCATGTCCTTGTCCGACGCGTAGCTGGCTTCGGCATCCTCGAGGCGGAGCGTGACCAGCCGCTCGGAGATGGCGATGGCCGCGTCCACGCTGCAGTTGCCGTAGTTCAGCACGCCCGACGGCGTGCCTGCTGCAGCACATATATCATGTATGGGGATGAGCACGGGGACGCGCAGGGTGCAGCAATGAAGGCAAGAAAGCCAACAAATAACAACTGTCAGACCAAACCGTCGCTCAAACAACCTGGCTGCTCATGGGATGAGCACGGAAGAAAGTATGAGAAGACATGTCATCGAAGACAGAAACGTGCACTGCCTTTGGCCAAAACAATAACGCGAAGGTAGCTATGTTTAGAGATCAGAACACTGACTTCAAGCTTCTGGACATCGCGATCTGCCTGGTGGAACTAACAATTTGGGCTTTGATCTGCAGAGTTGAAAAAGGCTCTCTGAGGGCTTTAGAAGTTGAAGTTGACCATGAATGAAGACAAGCACCCAAGACCAAGGAAAACTCAACCCACTTGCCCTCTTAGGGACTGTGGGGCCCAAGTATTTCATAACGCGGTACATGGACCCTTAGCCTTAGGGAGGGCAGTAGCTTGAGCAAGGCACAGAAAAGGAACTTGAAGCTTGCATCTTGCTCACTCAGCTGGAAAGTCTGGAAGAGCTCGAAGAGGCACCAGGAGCGCTTGAGGGGTGTCGCCTGGCGAAGTTCGGGTGAGGGGGCTCAGGGGTTGGTGCTGGGGTGGAAGTTCGGGTTGGGGCTGATAAAGGGTTTAGGGTTTAGGGTTCAGGGTGTAGGGTGGTTCGGGTTGTTCGGGGTGTAGGGTCTAGGGTTTAGGGTCTTCGTCTAGTTACGGCTTAGGGTTTAGGGTTTGGGGTTTAGGGTTTAGGGTGTAGGGCTTAGGGTGAACATAGAGTGCCAGTACCCGCCCCCAGCCTCCTCATCCAGGATCATGGCCGTTCCCTTGGTGCCGGATGCCCGCAGCGCCATGTAGAAGGAAGATTCCTCCCAGCCGGCTGTGCCACCACCGCCCAGCTCGCATTCCACTTCCCACTGATTGTTGCTGACGGTGCAGATCCAGTACCTCGTCCTCGTGATTTCAAGGCCCAGCTGCCCGTCGACGTGCACGACGGCCTCCGAGTGCTTCCAAACGCTGCTGACGAAGTCCCGGAAGGGCGTGCCCCAATAGTGGCTCACGAAGTACTCCACCTCATGCGGCCCGGCCACCTCCGCGTAGGAAAGCCGGGCCTCTCTGGTGAGTGGCTTCACGAGATTGTGGCAGACGTAATGCATGCTCCGATCTTGGATGAAGCCTTGGAAAGCCTGGTGGAGCTCGCACAGCTGGCCGAGGGTGATGGCCCGGCTGGGGCCGCGCTCCCTGGGCACCGGCTTCGGCTGGCCGAGCCGCAGCTGTCGGAGGAACGCGCTCTGGGCCTTGCGCAGAGCCGTGCGCTTGGCGGCCAGCGGGCCCCTGTAGGACGCAACCAGCAGGAAGCAGAGAAGGCCGCCGGCGAGCGCCGGGAGCCAGGCGATGTGAAGGTAGTACACATGCGTCATCGTCAGGACAACGAAAGCGATCGACAGCAGCACGCCCACTAAGGTTACTGTTGGTGCACACCAGAAGCCGGTCGCGAGGAGCGCCTCTTGCCAAGGAAGCCATAGCCAGCCGCAGGACGTCTCCGCCACACCCTCCCAGGCGCTGCCGTCCTGCGACGCAGCAAGGAGAACTATACCGGCTCGACCAAACACACAAAAACATTCTGACAGATGCTGAGCATTGCCGAGCAAAAACATCCGCCAAGCCAACTGAAGGAGCACTCTTCCCGAGCCCACACCAACACCTAACAACGAACTAGTCGACGCCAGGTCTCCTTGCCGTGGAGTTGCAAAGTGTAGCGATCTACAGTCCGGACTGTGTGGCATGGTCCGTTTCCAGGCTTCGTGTCCAGCGTATGGACACCAGTGCCCTCAAAGTACACCTGCAGCCCAAGGGTACATCAACACACAGCCAATCACAACACACAGCCAATCAAACCTTCAGACCCGTTCTTGCACATTAAGTCCTACCTTGGTAGCAGCCAGACGCGGGCGGACCCAATGCCCTCGCACAGTGGTGACACGCACGCCATGGCCTTTTGCAAGGGAAGGGAACCTAGTCATTGGCTTGGTTGCCCTTCACTGTACCTCCTACTAAGTATACTAGCCCTTCCAAACAGTTGCTTGCTCGATAAGCAAAACTGACAACCAATGCACGTTTCAGTTTAGGGGTAGCGACTCAGAAAAGAAGGGACATTTGCGGCTTAGGCTTGCAGCTTCAGATTCCTTCGATATGCAGGAGGCTACTCGACGTCTTTGCAAGGCGATGTTATGCCCCGCGGTAGTTTGGGTAAACAAGGTCAGGATGAACAGATTGTGTCGCCTGGCCTGTGTTGGAGATCTCCTGGATGGGGATCCTGTTGCCGAGCATGACAGGCAGGAGCCCGCCAGCAAGCACAGAAGCAATCACAAGACTAAGGGTGAGGATGGCCACGAACAGGACAGGTGGTTGGCAGGCACGGTTTCCAGGCTTGGCTTTGAAGTAGCCCGGCTGGCAGGGTTGGCAAGAATCTGGCTGAGCCTTGTTCCTGACGAGCTCATTCCCGGCTGGGCACTGACCTTCATCGCAGCTGGTGCCGTTGAAGTGATCGCTGCACTTGCAGTTGCCCGGACCCCGTGCCAGGAGCACCGACATGTTGGAGGCATGTGCCTTCTTTGCCTCGTCGGCCGCAAAGATGTCATCACGACACGTCCCGCGCCCGGCGCAGGCTCCATGCGTGTCTCGCCCGACGCCTGGGCCAGCGTCCAGAAAAAAAGCAGCGGCAACAACTCAAAGCTACAATCCCTTCGTATCAAGGTATACTACACTTTCCTCTCTGCATTCATGATAGGAACCCAACTTCAACTTTGGACCTTCAACAAGTTTGGACTATAAGCATCGAGTCGCCTGGGCAAGGCAGGCATGTTCCCTCCTTCCCAGAAGCATAGTTGCGCTCACATGCGGAACAATCAGGCAAGCGCTTGCCGCTCCTGAGGTGAACCAAACGCCGCAACCAACAAAAAGTTAAGATTCCGAAAGGCTCGTTGAGCAATCACCTGCAGCTAATTTGTCTTAAGAACATTTTCCAACGGAAGTTCGACTAACTGTACGCTCCTGGTTGGGGATCCTTTAACCTCTGAGCCTATATAGAAACAAGTACAATATATGACTCCATGTCTTCCTCCGGGGGCAGCAGACTAGCCGGAACCATGATGCCACCAGCCCCTGCAATTGAAGCCCAAGCTGCGGACAGTTACAGTTGCCATCTAGGCTGCAAGTCCCCCCATGACAACGGGGAGCGCTGACACAATGGCCTGCAGAGTAATACCGCAGCGGGGCAGAGTAACGGGCCGCCATTTCATGACCGATGGCCTCCATTTCACCATCGCGGTCCCAATCAACAAAAGTAGTGAGGACATTGGAAAACTCCGGCAGCTTCTGCAAATTATGAGCAACACTCTCCGGAGGACCCGTTGCCCGAAGTACGGACAAAGCGGTCTGCATGCAGTGCAGCGCTAGCGTCACGTTGCCAGCACCGGCTGCTGCAGTATCATTGACCAGCTGCAAGTTAATAACACCACCACCTTGGCAAACTGGGGTCCGGACGGCCGTTGTAAGCTGTCCACTTTCGTTCCGAAAAAACACCAGATGAGGATTGGCCTGTTCGACTGCGCCGGTGAGATCTTGCTCCACACAATAAAAATCGACGTCCCCATCACTGTCAGCATCCATGGCCTGGCAGAAATAGCGAGAAGCCGAAGCTGGAGGTCCAAGCGACGTGTTCCTCATGACACATGATTCGTCTTCACTGAAGTCAACAAACAACTTCATGCCCAGCGAGGTCCAAATGAGGACGTCTGGGACGCCATCTTCGTCCCAGTCCCAACCTTGAAATGCAAACAAACCATTGTCTGAAGAAACTCTGCACAAGACCTTGGGCGTGAAGGAGCCTGCGCTTGTCTGGTGCCAAAGCTTTAAAATTATGGGGCTGTCGAAAAGCCCTGCGGACAGAAGATCCCAGCGGGTGTCGCCATCCCAGTCGAGCACTTGTAAAGTTGAAGTAGCGTCAACACTGACAAGATTTGACTGAAAAGGACTTGTGTCTCGAAGGTGTGGCCGCAGCTCATCAATCTTTTCTTGTCTCCAAACTTGAATGGAGTTGTGAGAATGGTCGTTACTACCTTCCAACAGAAGAACATCAAGCAAACCGTCCTTGTCGAAATCAACGAGGTGCTTCATATTGAGCTCACCCCAGGTCAAGGGATGCTCGTCCTTGGGCTGAACTGTCCAGGGCTACTAGTCTCTGAATCAGGCGGGAGAGCCAGTTACATCTCAACAAGACCTGTTGAAGCTACAGCAAGTGACGCACCCTACTTTCCCAATTGAAGACAAGTGGGTTCCTGCATTGCAACCCTCTGGGGTTGTGCCTAATTCTGATGCACATAAGAAGTTAAAAGTACGCACGCCTTTTCAATTGTTATGAGGTAATATGTTTACAGCATGGGCCCGTGCAGTTCTGTTCAGGACCCGAAGTAGACCAACGTAAGATGAAGTTGTCTCCGAATGGTCGTTAACTCACAGCAACAGCAACTCCCACATTGCCCCTAGGCTGACCTGCAGCTATGGCTCCAGCTCCTTTGGGCGACCGCTGTCCAAATGTTCGAAGAGGTGCACAGCACCAAAGTTGTCGGTGGCAAGCATATCCAGATCGCCGTCTCCATCCCAGTCCACAGCTTGAAGCTTCAATACGATGCTTAACAGCCCATGGAAAGGATCCGTCAACTTGTTGTAGGGCTTATAGTCAAGATAGCCGGCTGCCTCTATGAAATACATGCCTGCCTCCGTCGAGACAAGCAGGTCGAGATCGCCGTCGGCGTCCCAATCCACAAGCTGCATGGCAGCGCATTTGAAGGAAAGAGTAAATGAAAGAAGATCGGCCATTGGGATGCTATAATTTAAGCTTAATGAGCTGTCTTGCTCACGCCGCCAGAAGTCCACGAAAAGGTGCGTGCCATGGGCAGAAGAAACAGCAAGATCCAGATTGGAATCGCGATCCCAATCGAGGGCATGCACGCAGAAGAAACGCCCCGCGTAAAATTCTTGTATGTCACGAAAAGGGTTTTTGGTCTCCTCTACCGGAACCAATTTCTGGTCTGCAGTACCATGGAAATACCAAGTGTGTGTCCGATTCGTGATCAGCAAGTCATCTGCCCCGTCTCCATCCCAGTCGTCCACCATCACGGGCACAGGAAAATCAATCCTGTCAATGTCAAAGGGCATCTCGAAACTTTGTTTGAACTCGACCAACTGACCCAGGCAGCTGCCAGCCCGCGGCATGCAAAACTGCGGTGCGCATTGCGACGCCCGGGAGGTCAGCAACAACCAGACTAACACAGCTTTCCATTGCCGCAACATTCGTCGCAGCGACAACATCCAAGACAAGCGAAACTACTCACATTCTCGCATTGTGACAGACATGCACGACAGTACTCCGCATAAACAAGTATGTTAAGTATGTGCGACAAACATCTTCACTTCTGCGTTACCTAGAATGGTAACGCCCCAGCTGCCCGTCCACTCAGCCAATATCCGAGTCGAAGTAACTGCGATGCCATGTTCGCAGAAAAAAACAGTTCTCAAGCAGACCCTTACCCTTACCATTGGCAGGCACGGAAAGCACGTCGCCCAGGGCGACTTCGTTCAATAAACTTGCTGTAGCACACATATCCAACAATGCCTTATGTACCCTAAACCCCACTCCCCAAACCCTAAACCCTAACCCTAACCCTAAACCCTAAACCCTAAACCCTAAACCCGAAGCTCCAAAGCTTTGCAGAACGGTGGCACCTCCCGGTTGGATGGCAGGTGCCTCCCTCGCCACGCAAAGCCTCTTCAGGGTTTGGGGTTTAGGGTTTTAGGGTCTAGGGTTTTAGGGTTTAAGGTTTTAGGGCTTAGGGTTCTGGGTTTAGGGTTTGGGGGTTAGACTTAAGGGCCGCGCAAAAAGGAGCTGTCTATAGCTTTAGGGGGGGCTTTCGGAGGGTGCCTCTTCAGAGTTTGGCATGGCGTCTCGGGTTTTGCGAAGCTTGGGGTTCAAAGAATTAGGGCCCCAAACCCTAAACCCTAAACCCCCCAACCCCAAAAACCCAAGGCTTGGCATGGGGCGTAGGGCTTAGGGCTTGCCTAGACACTACTAATACCTTAAGAACACCCCCCAAAAATCAAACAATCTTCTTCCCTCTAAGGGGAATAATCGGGATTGTTGTCCTTCATTTTTTTTTGGGGGGGGGTTCTTGAACAAATAGTACTCCAGAATGAGACCCTAACTTATAAGCCTTAAGTACAGTAAAGCCACTGTATAAGAAACCATTGTATAAGAAACTAAGACGCTAGCTCCGGGGATCTTGGGCGATTTCCAAAGAAATCACGTGCTAAACCCTAAACCCTAAACCATGAACCCTAAACCCTAAACCCTCAAACTCTGAAGCACCCGAGTCGAGCATTTGGGGAGGCCATGGGCAGCCTGACCCCAAAACCTTACCACGCCGTGTCCTCAAGCCAATGAACCCTAAGCCCTCAGCACTTGGAGTTTAGGGTTTAGGGTTTAGGGTTTAGGGTTTAGGGTTTAGGGTTTAGGGTTTAGGGTTTAGGGTTTAGGGTTTAGGGTTTAGGGTTTAGGGTACAAAGTGATCGACTCTGGGTCTTGAGGTTGCAAGACTCCGCTCTGAAAGTGCGCACCTTCCTCGCCATGGCCCGCCAACTCCAGTAGCTCCACCTTGGTGTTTAGGGCTTAGGGTCCAGTAGCTCCGTTTAGGGTTTAGGGTTTAGGGTTTAGGGTTTAGGGTTTAGGGTTTAGGGTTTAGGGTGCATCTACTAGGTCTTTTCTGAGCGAGGTTCAGGCTCACAGAGGTTCCGGTGTAAGGTTTAGGGTTTAGGGTTCAGGGTTTGAGGTTGAGGGTTTAGGGTTTAGGGTTTAGGGTTTAGGTTTAGGGTTTAATTGTTCGGGTACGGTTTCTTTGGACGGATGCTTGGGAAGCATGTTGACCAGTTACCTCTTTGCTACATTGGGTGGCCTAGTCAGTCCGCGCGGGCTGGAATGGTCCAGAGCTTGCGGGTCAGGGTTTAGGATTTGATTACTGTAGGGTTTCGGGAAACGCTGAACCCTTAATCCTAAAACCCCTAGCTTCTTCTCTAAGGGAGCTACATGATCCCTTTGAATGGGCGCTTAAAAGGTGAGCCCCTTGTAGACCCCTTAGAAGCACTACAAGACTCAAAGGCCCATACCTCAGAAGCCTGCAAAGAAGCCAAGGGGACCATATTACGGGACCATGTAACTATTCCCACGGCTTAGGGTTTAGGGTTTAGGGCATAAGCTAGGGGAGCTTCTTCACCAACGTACTAGACACTCTATGCGTGTCTCTGGGTTTCCTGGTTAAACCCGAACACCCAGCCACAACAACCCAAACCCCAAACCCTAAACCCCAAACCCGAAACCCTAAACCCCAAACCCTAAACTTAAACCCTAAACCCAGGCGCCGAATCGCCGACCGCACTCTGCAGGAGGTCGCGCCGGTGCCCGGGCACCTGTAGGGTTTAGGGTTTGGGGTTTAGGGTTTAGGGTTTAGGGTTTAGGGCTGAGGGTTTCGGGTTTCGGGTTTCGGGTTTCGGATTTCGGGTTTCGGGACCCTTGTTGCCCCTTCTACCCAAGGGCCCATACTTCAGAACCCTTTGACGAGGGCTTAGGGTTGAAAACTTCGGTGCTTAGTAGGGTTTTGGGGCTTAGGGTTTAGGGGTTTAGGATTTAGGGTTTGGGGCTTAGCGTTAAGGGCTTGAGGGTTGGGCTATGGGCTTTCGTGGCTTAGGCCACTTTATGCTTGGGGCTCGTTATGCTTGGGGCTCGGCATTGGGCTAATTAGGGGCTTCGGGTCTCCCGGAACCCTAAACCCTAAACCCGAAACTGTGTGTGGGAACCTGGCGCCCAAGCCTCGCGAGCCTGCACCCTGAGACCCCAACGATGTAGGGCTAGGGTTGGTTTAGGATTTGGGGTTTGGGGTTTAGGGTTTAGGGTTCCGGGTTTAGGGTTTCGGGCTGGGGTTTCGGGTTTTAGGGCTTAGGGGCCACCCCCGAAACCCTACAGTCCAGCTTGAACAAAGCCAAACTCACAAGTCCTAAAGAAGGGAAAGCTTTAACTCTGTGGTTCAAGATTAGCCCTCAACGCCCTAACTCCGAAAATCTTAACCCCTAAGCTCAGCAAGCTGAACCCAACAAGCCTAAACTCCCCCCAGAACCCTGCGGTTCTACATATCCCCCCTTGTCCCTACAAACCCTGATCCCTACATGCTGAACCCTAAGTCTTAACCCTAAGTCCCGAACGGCATCCTGAAGCTTGAACGCTACTAGGATGGCCCTGAAAAGCCTCTGAAACATATTCCTGAATAGTTATGACCCTCTCCTCTTAAACCCCAAAAGTGAAAACAGACAACAAAAAAAACAATGGGCCTGGCTAAAAACCTGAACCCTAAACTCTAAACCCTAAACAACCCTGAACCCTGAACCCTGAACCCTGAACCCTAAACCCTAAACCCTAAACCCTGAACCCTAAATCCTACACCCTAAACCCTGAACCCTAAACCCTGATCTGCTTTTGAGCTGCGACGTCGGGCACCTCGCCGGCGCAGGTGCCTTGACTTGAGTAACCCTAAACATCCGAAACATCCGAAACCCTAAACCCTAAACCCTAAACCTCAATCCGAAACTCCTAAGCCCTAGTTTTGGGAGCACTAGCCGGCTACCGGGGGCTGACAGTTCAGCACCTTCAGGGGCTTAAGAGGCCTAAGGGTGTCGGTTTTTGAGGCTTAGGGTCTCAGAGTTTATACGGCTTTTCGGGTTTTTGGGGCTTTAGGGGTTTAGAGTTTTGGCGCTTAGAGCTGGCGTCTTGGGTTTTGGGATGCAGGGCTGGAGAGGGTGAAGTGCCCAGACATAATTACACTTGAGGTCCGGGGTTTGTGGGTTAGGGGGGTTTCGGGGTACATGGCTACAGGCGCAAGGCTTGCTTTCTATAGGGTCCAGGGTCCAGGGTTTCGGGTTTAGGGTCGGGGGTGCTGGGCCTCAGGGCTGAAGGGCTCATGACACAGCGAAGCGCCTTTTGCGGAATCGACGAAATGGGTTGCCTAGTTGAGGGACGTTTCCCTTTCTTGTTGAACGTGCCTCAAAGTTTCAAAGGGGTTGAATTACCTGAAACCGGGGAAGTGCAATCTCTCGGTCAAAACAAACAGGTTTAGGGCATAGCGTTCAGGGCATAGGGAATTTACTCGAAGAACACCTTGAAGACATGTGGAGGATGGTGCCTTCGTCTTCGGGCGGATGGCTTCCTGGCGATCCTGCTCCTCTTCCTGAAGGGACCTGGCAGGGCTCCGGGGAGGAAGGGGGAGGGCCAAAATCTCAAAATCAGGGTCGCATGTGTATCTTTTTTTCCGATAACTATATGAAACCCCCCAAAAGAGAGAGAGCCCTCAAAGCCAAACCCTGAGTTTCGGAATCTCCCGTTTGATCACCCGCCCGGCCCCAATTTTCAGAGGAAGAAAGCCCAGAACCGATAAAGAGGCGTAGGGAGAGGCGTGGTTGAAGGTTCAAGTCCTGGGTCTATATAATATAGACGCAGGGTTGAGGCTTATAGGGTTTATTGGGTCTTCCAAGTGAGACTGTAGTCAAAGCTCGCCAGCAGCCCAGGTCCTGTAAGACGTCTCCCACCTCTTGATGGCAAACCACCAGAACCTTAAACACTAAACCCTAAACCCAATAGGCTCAAGGCCGATCCTTGGCCTGCTCCGCCCCAACATCACCCAGCTCAATATACGAATCCCAGAACTTCTCAGTCGCATGCAAAAAAGCAGGTCCCACCTTTTCATGTCGTGTGCCGGCGCTTTTCCCGCGATGTAAGGAGCGCTTCTGGCCCCAATTCCCATGAAGCTTCAGAAGCTCCGGGCCTATGAGCCACGAGGAGTTTCCGAAGATGAAGGTCTCCCAAATCCCGGGCGCAAGCCCAAGGTTCCCTAACTTCTGGGCCCCCCCCTTACGATGAGAAACACCAAAAACAAGAAGCCCTGACAACCCACACCCAACAAAGGGAAGCCCCCACCCCTTCAGACGCCCCCTTCTGTGGCCAGCCTGCTACACGAGGGCTTTGCCTCGAGGCCGGCAACGGGAATCCCGTAAAACTAAATGCTGTCGAGTCCGCTTGAGAGTGCTGCTGCTCTTACTCAAGTATCCAGACTGCTACGAGACACAATTCCACAGCTTGTCAGAGATTTCGGGTCTGAGGTTCGCCCCGCGCAACAGCCCTCCAACTTTGGCGACAGCTCGGCTCCACTGAGCACTTGTCAGGGTGCCCCATGCAAAACACGGATACAGCTGGGCTTCATACGCTGAAATGTGCGTCTTCAATCTGTATGTCTGATCTTCCTGCCGGCGCCCTCTCCTGCAGGGCCTGCGCAGGTGGCTCGCGAGCCTGCTCCTGCGCGGCGCGCTGGGTCATGTAGCCTTCCATGGTCGCCTCCAAGCTGCGATTCAGCCGCCCGAGCTCGCCCCCGAGGTGCCGCTCCGTGGCCCTGAGGACCTCGGAGATGCGCAGCTTCAGCGAGAAGTTCACGGCGTCGAAGCCGCCCTCTTCCTGAGACAGGGTCGATTTAATCACAGAGGGCTGAGGGGGCCTTGGGAGAGGAGCAAACAAGACGAACCCTGGCCGACAGAGGAATTCACACCAGACACTCAGCCTGCGAGATGAGCTGGTCGATCATGTCCTTGTCCGACGCGTAGCTGGCTTCGGCATCCTCGAGGCGGAGCGTGACCAGCCGGTCGGAGATGGCGATGGCCGCGTCCACGCTGCAGTTGCCGTAGTTCAGCACGCCCGACGGCGTGCCTGCTGCAGCACATATAGCATGTATGGGGATGAGCACGGGGACGCGCAGGGTGCAGCAATGAAGAGCAAGAAAGCCAACAAATAACAACTGTCAGACCAAACCGTCGCTCAAACAACCTGGCTACTCATGGGATGAGCACGGAAGAAAGTATGAGAAGACATGTCATCGAAGACAGAAACGTGCACTGCCTTTGGCCAAAAACAATAACGCGAAGGTAGCTATGTTTAGAGATCAGAACACTGACTTCAAGCTTCTGGACATCGCGATCTGCCTGGTGGAACTAAAAATTTGGGCTTTGATCTGCAGAGTTGAAAAAGGCTCTCTGAGGGCTTTAGAAGTTGAAGTTGACCATGAATGAAGACAAGCACCCAAGACCAAGGAAAACTCAACCCACTTGCCCTCTTAGGGACTGTGGGTCCCAAGTATTTCATAACGCGGTACATGGACCCTTAGCCTTAGGGAGGGCAGTAGCTTGAGCAAGGCACAGAAAAGGAACTGGAAGCTTGCATCTTGCTCGCTCAGCTGGAAAGTCTGGAAGAGCTCAAAGAGGCACCAGGAGCGCTTGAGGGGTGTCGCCTGGCGAAGTTCGGGTGAGGGGGCTCAGGGGTCGGTGCTGGGGTGGAAGTTCGGGTTGGGGCTGATAAAGGGTTTAGGGTTTAGGGTTCAGGGTGTAGGGTGGTTCGGGTTGTTCGGGGTGTAGGGTCTAGGGTTTAGGGTCTTCGTCTAGTTAGGGCTTAGGGTTTAGGGTTTGGGGTTTAGGGTTTAGGGTTTAGGGTGTAGGGCTTAGGGTGAACATAGAGTGCCAGTACCCGCCCCCAGCCTCCTCATCCAGGATCATGGCCGTTCCCCTGGTGCCGGATGCCCGCAGCGCCATGTAGAAAGAAGATTCCTCCCAGCCGGCCGTGCCACCACCGCCCAGCTCGCATTCCACTTCCCACTGATTGTTGCTGACGGTGCAAATCCAGTACCTCGTCCTCGTGATTTCAAGGCCCAGCTGCCCGTCGACGTGCACTATGGCCTCCGAGTGCTTCCAAACGCTGCTGACGAAGTCCCGGAAGGGCGTGCCCCAATAGTGGCTCACGAAGTACTCCACCTCATGCGGCCCGGCCACCTCCGCGTAGGAAAGCCGGGCCTCGCTGGTGAGTGGCTTCACGAGATTGTGGCAGACGTAATGCATGCTCCGATCTTGGATGAAGCCTTGGAAAGCCTGGTGGAGCTCGCACAGCTGGCCGAGGGTGATGGCCCGGCTGGGGCCGCGCTCCCTGGGCACCGGCTTCGGCTGGAAAAGCCGCAGCTGTCGGAGGAACGCGCTCTGGGCCTTGCGCAGAGCCGTGCGCTTGGCGGCCAGCGGGCCCCTGTAGGACGCAACCAGCAGGAAGCAGAGAAGGCCGCCGGCGAGCGCCGGGAGCCAGGCGATGTCAACTTCGTAGGCGCGCGTCATCGTCAGGACAACGAAAGGGATCGACAGCAGCACGCCCACTAAGGTTACTGTTGGTGCACACCAGAAGCCGGTCGCGAGGAGCGCCTCTTGCCAAGGAAGCCATAGCCAGCCGCAGGACGTCTCCGCCACCCCCTCCCAGGCACTGCCGTCCTGCGACGCAGCAAGTGGAGAACTATACCGGCTCGACCAAACACACAAAAAACATTCTGACAGATGCTGAGCATTGCCGAGCAAAAACATTCGCCAAGCCAACTGAAGGAGCACTCTTCCCGAGCCCACACCAACACCTAACAACGAACTAGTCGACGCCAGGTCTCCTTGCCGTGGAGTTGCAAAGTGTAGCGATCTACAGTCCGGACTGTGTGGCATGGTCCGTTTCCAGGCTTCGTGTCCAGCGTATGGACACCAGTGCCCTCGAAGTACACCTGCAGCCCAAGGGTACATCAACACACAGCCAATCAAACCTTCAGACCCGTTCTTGCACATTAAGTCCTACCTTGGTGGCAGCCAGACGCGGGCGGACCCAATGCCCTCGCACAGTGGTGACACGCACGCCATGGCCTTTTGCAAGGGAAAAAAACCTAGTCATTGGCTCGATTGCCCTTCACTGTACCTACCACTAGCCCTGCCAAACAGTTGCTTGCTCGATAAGCAAAACCGACTACCAATGGACGTTTGCGGCTTGGGCTTGCAGCTTCGAATATCAGGATGAACAGATTGTGTTCCTCGCCTGGCCTGTGTTGGAGATCTCTTGGATGGGGATCCTGTTGCCGAGCATGACAGGCAGGAACCCGCCGGCAAGCACAGAAGCAAGGGTGAGGATGGCCACGAATAGGTCAGCAGGTTGGCAAGGATAATTTCCGGGTTGGGTTTTGAAGTGGTTCGGCTGGCAGGCTTTGCAAGAATCCGGCTGCATCTTGCCCGTGACATATTCATTCCCGGCTGGGCACTGACCTTCATCGCAGCCGGTGCCGTTGAAGGGATGGTTGCACTTGCAGCTGCCCCGACCCCGTGCCAGGAGCACCGACATGTTGGAGGCGTTTGACTTCCTGGCCTCCTTGGCCGCAAGGATGTCATCATGACACGTCCCACGTCCGGCGCAGCTTCCATGCGTGTCACGCCCGACGCCTGGGCCAACGTCCAGAAAACCAAAAAGCAGCCGCAACAACTCAAAGCATTCATGATAGGAACCCAAGTTCAATTTTGGACCGTCAACAAGTTTGGACCTAAGCATCGAGTCACCTGGGCAAGGGAGGCATCTTCCCTCCTTCCCAGAAGCATAGTTGCGCTCACACGCGGAACAATCCTGCGAGAACGTGCCACGCCTGAGCCGTTTAACCCGGGCATGGGGGGGTTCAACTACACTGGAGGTGTATGACTTTTCGTGAACCAAACCTCACAACCAAAACAAAGAAGCAAAGATTCCGAAAGGCTTTTTCAGCTTAGAGCAATCGTTATCACCTGCAGCTAATATGCTTTTCAATAAATTCCATGCTCCTGTTCGGGGATCGTTTAAGCTTTGAGCCTGTGGAAACAGTTTCAACTGCAGCCAACATTTCAAGCCCGCAGTGGGCTGCGGACTAGCCGGAACAATGACAGCCCCGATGGACAACCTAGAACCTACAAATTGTGACAATCCCACCCGCCCCCCACCGCAGTATAAGGCTTCACGAATAAGCCCAAGCTTCGGACAGGTACACTGGCCATTTGGGTTGCAAGTCCCCCCATGACAGCGCGGGGCGCTGACACAATGCCCTGCAGAGTAGTACTGCAGACGCGAGCCACCAGTCAGGTCAACACCGATGGCCTCCATTTCACCATCACGGTCCCAATCAACAAAACAGGGGTAGACCAGGCTGGGCCACTCCGTTAGCTTCTGCAAACTACGAGCAACAGTCTCCGGAGGACCCGCTGCCCGAAGTACGGAAGAAGTGGTCGAAATCGGAAACTGCACACAGAGCAGCGCTAGCGTCACGTTGCCAGCACCGGACGCTGCAGTATCATTCACCAGCTGCAAGTTTCCAACAACCTCACCTTGGCAAACTGGGGTCCGGACGGCCGTTGTAAAGCTGCCCACTTTCGTTCCGAAAATACACCAGATGAGGATATTCCTGTTCGACTGCGCCGGCGAGATCTTGCTCCACACAATAAAAATCGACGTCCCCATCACTGTCAGCATCCATGGCCTGGCAGAAATAGCGAGAAGCCGAAGCTGGAGGTCCAAGCGACGTGTTCCTCATGACACATTCGTCTCCACTGAAGTCAACAAGCAACTTCATGCCCAGCGAGGTCCAAATGAGGATGTCTGGGACGCCATCCTCGTCCCAGTCCCCACCTTGAAATGAAAAATGAGCCACATTGTCTGAAGAAACTCTGCACAAAACCTTGGGCGTGAAGGAGCCTGCGCTTGTCTGGCGCTGAAGCTTTATGACTACGGAGTCCTTGTAACTCGTGACGGACAGAAAGTCCCAGCGGGTGTCGCCATCCCAGTCGAGCACTTGTAAAAGGGGATTAGGGTCAACACTGAAAAGCTCTGACTGAAGAGGACTTGTGTCTCGAAGGTGTGGCCGCAGCTCATTAAGCTTTTCTTGTATCCAAACTTGAATGGAGTAGTGAGAAAAGTCCGTCTTACGTTCCAACAGAAGAACATCAAGCAAACCGTCCTTGTCGAAATCAACGAGGTGCTTCAGATTGTGTTGACCCCAGGTCAAGGGATGCTCGTCCTTGGGCTGGCAAGAGTCTCCGAATCGGGAATGCCAATTACATCTCTACAAGACCTGTTGAAGCTATACAGCAGGTGTCGCACCCTACTTTCCCGATTGAAGACAAGTGGGTTTCTGCATTGCAACCCTCTGGGGTTGTGCCTAATTCTGTTGCACATACGAAGTTAAAAGTACTCACTGTTTACAGCATGGGCCCGTGCAGTTTTGTTCAGGACCCGAAGTAGACCAACGTAAGATGAAGTTGTCTCCGAATGGTCGTTAACTCACAGCAACAGCAACTCCCACACTGCCCCTAGGCTGACCTGCAGCTATGGCTCCAGCTCCTTTGCGTGACCGCTGTCCAAAATGTTCGAAGAGGTGCACAGCACCACCGTTGTCGGTGGCAAGCATATCCAGATCGCCGTCTCCATCCCAGTCCACAGCTTGAAGCTTCACTACGATGCTTAACAGCCCTTGGAAAGGATCCGTCAACTTGTTGTAGGGCTTATAGTCAAGATAGCCGGCTGCCTCCATGAAATACATGCCTGCCTCGGAGTATGGGGGACCAAGCGGAAGCGTCGAGACAAGCAGGTCGAGATCGCCGTCGGCGTCCCAATCCACAAGCTGCATGGCAGCGCATCTGAAGAAACGAGTAAATGAAGGAAGGTCGGCCAATGGGATGCTATAATTTAGACTTAATGACTTGTCTTGCTCACGCCGCCAGAAGTCCACGAAAAGGTGCGTGAAATTGGTAGAAGAAACAGCAAGATCCAGATTGGAATCGCGATCCCAGTCGAGGGCATGCACACAGAATGAACTTCGCCCCGCGTAAAATTCTCGTACCCCACGAAAAGGGTTTTCAGTCTCCTCTACCGGAACCAGTTGCCTGTCTGCCGTAACATGGAAATACCAAGTGCGCGTCCGATTCGTGATCAGCAAGTCATCTGCCCCATCTCCATCCCAGTCGTCCACCATCACGGGCACAGGTAAATCAAGACTGAAACTGTCAAAGGGCATCTTGAGACTTTGTCTGAACTCGGCCAACTGACCCAGGCAGCTGCCAGCCCGCGGCATGCAAAACTGCGGTGCGCATTGCGACGCCCGGGAGGTCAGCAACAACCAGACTAACACAGCTTTCCATTGCCGCAACATTCGTCGCAGCGACAACATCCAAGACAAGCGAAACTACTTACACTCGCATTGTGACAGACATGCACGACAGTACTCCGCATAAACAAGTATGTGCGACAAACATCTGTACTTCTGCATTACCTAAAATGGTAACGCCCCAGCTGCCCGTCCACTCAGCCATATCCGAGTCGAAGTAACTGCGATGCCATGTTGGCAAAAAAAACTAGTTCTCAAGCAGACCCTTACCCTTACCAATTGGCAGGCACGGAAAGCACGTCGCCCAGGGCGACTTCGTTCCATAAACCTGCTTTAGGACATATATCCAACAATGCCTTATGTACCCTAAACCCCACTCCCCAAACCCTAAACCCTAACCCTAAACCCTAAACCCTAAACCCGAAGCTCCAAAGCTTTGCAGAACAGTGGCGCCTCCCGGTTGGATGGCAGGTGCCTCCCTCGCCACGCATAGCCTCTTCAGGGTTTGGGGTTGTTAGGGTTTAGGGTTTTAGGGTTTAGTGTTTTAAGGCTTTAGGGGGTTAGGGTTTTTAGGGTTTAGGGTTTAGGGTTTCGGGTTTAGGGTTTAGGGGTAGGTAGATGTGAGGGCCCTGCAAAAACGAGCTGTCTATAGGTTTGGGGGGGGGGGGGGGGGAACCCTAAACCCTCAACCCTAAACCTTAAATCCGTAAGATCTTCGGTGTCTTGGGTTTTTGGGCAACTTTCGCTTCAAGAAATGAAGGCCTAAGGCTTGGGCTTGAGAACCCAAGAGAGACAAACAGATTCTTCCTTCCAAGGGTAATCTTTTTGTGTTTTTCTTTTTTGAGGGGGGGGGGGGGGAAAGGAACCTAAACCCCCCAAAAAAGGGAATAAGGGCCTTCTCTGGGTCCTAGCCCTAAACCCTAAACCCTAAACCCGAAACCCTAAACCTCCTAAGGTACCTCTGTAAGCCCTGATTCAACGATACTTGGGGGTAGATGTTCGGCTCTGCCGCAGACACCTCCAGGGTTTAGGGTTTGGGGTTTGGGGTTTGGGGTTTGGAGTATGGGGTTTAGGGTTTCGGGTTGAATCCCTTAAACCCCCCCCAACTTAACGTTAAACCCCGAGTCTTAGACCCCGTAAATCCCAAACCCCCCAAAACTCAATTCTAAACCCTAAACGGATACCCTCAACCCTAAACCCTAAACGGAGACCCTCCTACTCTGAAGCACCCAAGTCGAGCATATGGGGCCCTCAGCAGCCTGACTCTTAGAACCCTACCGGGCTCTGTCCTCAACCCATTGAACCCTAAACCCTCAGAACAAGGGTTAAATTGCAAAAGGGGTTTCTGTTTGGAGTTGTGTCGGGTTTTGGGTGGTTTTGTCGCGCTTTTCCTTGTGATGTTGAAGGCAATTTCCTTTGGGATGGCTTTCCATGGCTTGGGGAGGCCTTGCCGAAACAATTTGGAGCACAGGGTTTAGGGTTTAGGGTTTAGGGTTTAGGGTTTAGGGTTTAGGGTTTAGGGTTTAGGGTTTAGGGTTTAGGGTTTAGGGTTTAGGGTTTAGGGTTTAGGGTTTAGGGTTTAGGGTTTAGGGTTTATTGAAGCCTTTTGGACTTCTGGCTTCTTTGAAGGATTAGTGCAGCACATCGAAATGGCTAGAAATGCAAGGATGATGAATTATTGTAGCCCGTCGAAATTGCAAGCTCTGAGAAATTGAAGGATTATTGTCGCCCCTCGAAACTGCAAGCTCCCAATGAATCACAGACAATTTCGAATTATCCTGGCCTCGAGGGTTTAGGGTTTAGGGTTTATGGTTTAGGGTGGAAAGTCATCGATTCTGGGTCTTGAGTCTTGAGGTTGCAAGAAGGTCTCCAAAAGTGCGCACCTTCCTCGCCATGGCCCGCCAACTCCAGTAGCTCCACCTTGGGGTTTAGGGTTTAGGGTCCAGCTCCATTTAGGGTTTAGGGTTTAGGGTTTAGGGTGCATCTACGAGGTCTTTTCTGAGCGAGACTCAGGCTCACAGAGGTTCCGGTGTAAGGTCTAGGGTTTGGGGTTCAGGGTTTGAGGTTGAGGGTTTAGGGTTTGAGGTTGAGGGTTTAGGGTTTAGGGTTTAGGCTTAGGGTTTAGTTGAATTGTTCGGGTGCGATTTCTTTGGACGGATGCTTGGGAAGCACGTTGACCAGCTACCTCTTTATTACGTTGGGTGGTCCTTTCAGTCCGCGCGGGCGGGAATGGTCCAGAGCTTGCGGGGTCAGGGTTTAGGCTTTGATTACCGTAGGGTTTCGGGAAACGCTGAACCCTTAAACCTAAAACCCCTAGCTCCTGCGCTTAGGGCAGTTACATGATCCCTTCGTATGGGCCCTTAAACGGGGAGCCCTTGTAGACCAAGGGCCGATACTTCAGAAGCCTCTCAAGAAGCTAAGGGGACCAATTACGGGACCATGTAACAACTCTAAGAGCAAGCTAGGTGAGCTTCTTCACCAATGTACTAGACACTATATGCGGGTCTCTGGGTTCCCTGGTTAAACCCGAACACCCAACCACAACAACCCAAACCCTAAACCCTAAACCCCAAACCCCAAACCCTAAACCCTAAACCCTCGAACCCTAAGACCCGAAGACTTTAAACCCAGGCGCCGAATCGCCGACCGCACTGTGCAGCAGGTCGCGCTGGTGCCCGGGCACCTGGGGTCGTGCTCTTAGGGAAGTTCCATGGTCCCGGAATACAGGGTTTAGGCTTTAGGGTTTAGGGTTTAGGGTGTAGGATTTGGGGACCTTGTATGCTCATACCCAAGGGCCCATACTTCAGAACCCTTTGAAGAGGGCCTAGGGTTGAAAAGTTCGGTGCCTAGTAGGGTGGGCTTAGTGTTTAGGGGTTTAGGATTTAGGGTTTGGGCTTAGCGTTGAGGGCTTGGGGGTTAGGGCTATGGGCTTTAGTGGCTTAGGCCATTTTATGTTTGGGGCTCGGCCCTAAACCCTATAGACCCTAAACCAGAATCTCTAAACCCTAAAACCGAAACTGTGTGTGGGAACCTGGCGCCCAAGCCCCGCGAGCCTGCACCCTGCGACCCCAACGATGTAGGGCTAGGGTTGGTTTAGGGTTTGGGGTTTGGGGTTTAGGTTTAGGCTTCCGGGTTTAGGGTTTCGGGCTTCGGGCTAGGGTTTCGGGTTCTAGGGCTTAGGGGCCACCCCCGAAACCTCACAGTCCAGCTTGAACAAAGCCAAACTCACAAGTCCTGAAACAGGGAAAGCTTTAACTCTGCAGTTCAAGATTAGCCCTCAACGCCCTAAATCCGAAAATCTTGACCCCTAAGCTCAGCAAGCTGAACCCAAAAGCCTAAACCCGACCTAAAACCCTGCGGTTCTAAATATCCCCCCTATAAACCCTAATCCCTACATCCTGAACCCTAAGTCTTAAACCTTAGTCCCGAACGGCATCCTGAACCTTGAACGCTACTAGGATGACCCTGAAAAGCCTCTGAAACATATTCCTGAATAATTATGATCCTCTCCTCTTAAACCCCAAAAGTGAAAACACACAAAACAAAACAATGGGCCTACCTAGGCTAAAAACCTGAACCCTAAACCCTAAACCCTCAACCCCGAACCCTGAACCCTGAACCCTACACCCTGAACCCTAAACCCTGAACCCTGAACCCTGATCTGCTGTTGAGCTGCGACGCTAGGCACGCCGCTGGCGCAGGAGCCTTGAGCTGCCCTTGGAGCCCAAAACCCTGAACCCTAAACCCTAAACCGTAAACCCTAAACCCTAAACCCCTAAACCCTGAACCCTAAACCCTAAACTCCTAAACCCCTGTTTTGGGAGCACTAGCCGGCTACCGGGGGCTGACATTTCAGCACCTTCAGGAGCTTCAGAGGCCTAGGGGTGTCGGTTTTCGAGGCTTAGGGTCTTGGAGTTTATACGGCTTTTCGGGTTTTTGGGGCTTTAGGTGTTTAGAGTTTTGGCGTTTAGGGCTGGCGTCTTGGGTTTAGGGAAGGGCTGGGAGGGTGAAGTGCTCAGACATAAGTACCCTTGAGGTCTGGGGTTTGTGGGTTAGGGGGGTTTCGGGGTACATGGCTACGATTTCAGGCGCAAGGCTTACTTGCTGTAGGGTCCAGGGTCCAGGGTTTCGGGTTTAGGGTCGGGGGTGCTGGGCCTCAGGGCTGAAGGGCTCATGACATCGCGAAGCGCCTTTTGCGGAATCGACAAAATGGGTTGCCTAGTTGAGGAACGTTTCCCTTTCTTGCTTAAAGTGCTTCAAAGGGGTTGAATTACCTGAAACCGGGGAAGTGCAATCTCTCTGTTAAAATAAACAGGTTTAGGGCATAGCGTTCAGGGCATAGGGAATTTACTCGAAGAACACCTTAAAGAAATGTGGAGGATGGTGCCTTCGTCTTCGGGCGGATGGCTTCCTGGCGATCCTGCTCCTCTTCCTGAAGGGACCTGGCAGGCTCCGGGGAAAATCAGGGTCGCATGTGTATCTTATTTTCCGATATCTATATGAACCCCTCCAAAAGAGAGCCCTCAAAGCCAAACCCTGACTTTCGGAATCTCCCGTTGGATCAGCCCAACCCCCCCCCCCCCCGGCCCAATTTTCAGAGGAAGAAAGCCCAGAACCGATAAAGAGGCGTAGGGAGAGGCGTGGTTGAAGGTTCAAGCCCTGGGTCTATATATATATATACATATATATATATATATAGACGCAGGGTTGAGGCTTAGGGTTTATTGAGTCGTCCAAGCGAGACTGTAGTCAAAGCTCGCCAGCAGCCCAGGTCCTCTAGGACGTCTCCCACCTCTTGAAGACGATGAGATTCCGAAGGCAAACCACCAGAACCCTAAACCCTAAACCCTAAACCCTAAACCCTAAACCCAATAGGCTCAAGGCCGATCCTTGGCCTGCTCCGCCCCAACATCACCCAGCTCAACATCCGAATCCCAGAACTTCTCAGTCGCATGCAACAAGCAGTCCCATGGCCACCTTTTCATGTCGTGCCAGCGCTTTTCCCGCGATGTAAGGAGCGCTTCTGGCCCTAATTACCATGAAGCTTCAGAAGCTCCAGGCCT